AAAAAAAAAAAAAAGAAAAAGAAAAACTTCTCACCCAAGTACCACAGAGCAGTAAAGCCTATAATAATTGCACTCTCGCTCTCTTCTGACTTCGTTTAAGAAAAATAAACCAATAACATATAAGCCATGCTTCTTCCCTCTCACTCCATTGTCAGTCCTGGAAGAAATGGACCCACCAAGAGTCTCCTGCTCCTACTGGACACGAGCTAGTGAGCGCAGTGAAGGGAATAATCAAGTCGGTTGAGGTGCTGGGCTACAATACTGACCTTTCTTGTTCAGATGTTTAAACCCAATTTAATCTGATGATCTTCCCCAAAGAAAATAAACACCAGTTTGTTAATAAACAACAACCATAATTCAGCCAAGAAACATCATTCTTACCATACCCATCGGTAACTGTATTCATTCTCAGGAAGACTGTAAGGGAGCTTGAGAATAGCCTGTCTTTAACCAGGAGTGGGAGAATTTGGGAATTAATTATTTATGAAAATTCTTTCAGTCCATTGATTTATGTGTGACACTAAAAAAATAACATTTTAAAAGAAAAGGCTGTGGTTAGCAATGTTTAGTCCAACCAAAGCATGAAGATGAGGTAGGGAGCTTGGTAGCCAGCTATCTCTAAATTAGCCATTAGTTCAAATGCCTTTGTGCAATCTAATAGTAATGGTAAGCAGCGGATAAATACATATAAAAATTTTCTCAAATACCCCAGAATGTATGCAATCATAAAGGTAACAAAAAATTACAAGTCTAGGAATAAATATAATTATTTTGAAACAATAGAGTGTTACCCAGAAAGATACATATGAATGGGAAAAAACAGTATGTTGTTAATCAAAGTACCAAATATACACTTTAAGGAGTTTTGCTCTTCACAAATTAATTTTTAATTTATTTCAATCACAAAGCTTAAATTAGAACAGGAATAAGTAGCAGCTTCACCTTTTCTTCTTTAACAAACATTTACCAATAATCCACTATGTGAAAAAGTTTGTGCTTGGTACTACAGATAGGGCAGTGATGAAACACACAACTCTTGTTTTCTAAATTCTATAGCAGAGTAAATGTGAATAGATTCTTACAGAATTTTATAAAGAGAATAGGTCTGTGAAATTTATATGGAGCTCACATTCTCAAATCACTTCCTATCCTAATTTCCCTTAAACGCCAAGAAATATATACCATAACTGGGCACTAAAGGAAAACGCATGTCACATTTTCCCCAACAAGAGAGCGGTCAAAGCACATAAAAATGGCTGTCAAATTTTACCACAAATTCAGAGGAAGAAAATTATTATAAAGGTGTAATTTATTAAAATCTCTTGCAGAGCTCTTGAAAAACAGGTGTTTGAGAAGAAGTCTTGAAATGAGAAATGCTCAGTTCAAGATAAAATATTAAGTGATAATCATGACACTCACTGTAATAAGAATTTACAAAGATTTAACTGAATAGTAGGAGTATTATTTAATTACACACGTGTCAATATCATATTTATTGATTATCACGTCTTTTACATTTGGCATGTAGTGTTGTATAATGAGGAAAATAGTCAATACTGTTTCAAAACCAAGTATTTAAAAACCCATTTATAATAAGGACTATGATATTGATACCAGGGGGTAATTTATAGAAGAGGAATCTGAATAGCATATGTAAAGTCAATTTTACAATTTCAAAATAAAATATTACTAACTCCCTTCAAGAATACAGTTAGCAACAGTCATCCAACAAAATGTTTAACATCTTCTGTGTCATCTTGAACCTAATCTTCTGATTCTACATTTTTCATGTCTAATACATCAGTTCCCACTTGCAGACACACAATATGACAATATATCCACTAGAAGGTCTGTGCAAAGGAAGGGGGCTGCCCGAGTAGCAGGTTTGAGTACAGGTAGCAGGTGCCTGGGAAGCAATGTGCACTTGCTGCACAGAAGTAGACAGCTGCGTCTCCAGGCTGGGTGGCTGTGATGTGCAGGGACAGATGTTTGGCCGTCTTATTCAATAAAACAGTGAGTCCTTGGTCTTCCTCTTTGACCTTATTTGAACGAATGCTTATAAGGAACCGGAGACTTTTGCCAGGTTCTTGCTTATACCAAGGGAAGAAATCTGAATTACTGTCTGTGTAAGTGCAGGTGATAACAGAGCTGTTTCCCTCCTGGACACTCAGGCTGGGAGGACTCTGCTCCACATTCTCTCCTCGGCTCACACCTGTGCAGAAAGAAGAAGTCAGAGAAAGGAGGATTACCAGATTACTGTGTCCCCAAATTTACTTTTCCTTCTCTACGGTAACCAGAGGAAACCTGAATAAAGCCAGTCCTGGCTTCTAAAGAATGTCCCCTAATATCTTCTGTTTCCCATAAGCCCTCGACTCACAGTGCAGCTGCAGCCACAAGAACATGATTAAAGCTCCGATGGGTGTCTTCATTGTTCTTCCCATTTAGGATCAACTGCAAACTGCAAACTCCAGGCAGGAAAGCTACTTCTATTACCAAGTGATCCCTTCTTTTCTCTAACAACCAGAGGTTTCTCACATTGCCTACCCAGCCAATAAGAAAAAGGCTCTGCTTCTGCCCTAAGCCTATTCATTCAGAATCCACTGAAATGAACCCTGCACATGTTCTGCATCAGCCGGGGTGCACCGCCATCTGGTGGTCACATCTCTAACTACGGAACTTTCGGGTTAAATGTTTTCTTACCCTGTGTCTGTAAGGGATTCATATGCACAAAAACAGCAATAGATGAAACAAATTGTGTCTTAGATTGGAGAGTAAATGCACATTAATAGTGCAGAGATCAGGATTTATATCTCTGCACACTACCGAGTCGTTTGTAAGTTGGAGAGAGGTCGATCCTGTTGCTGTTTATTCAATGATGGACCCAGGGTACAGGTTTGAAATCAGGAAAGCACCATGATTCACTCTCTCAAAGAAGATATAAAAATCTTTTCAGCCAAGTCTAACATCCTCATTTGTCTGTTGTGAAGGAAAACTCTTTCTAAAAAGGAACGTGTAAGCCAAAGAGCAGGAGAGAGAAGATCAGTTGATATTTCAAATGTCTGTTATCTCAGACTCTGCTCCTCTAGGCTGGTCTTGCCCATAAACCTGCTGTTACCAGAGAATGGACAGCACCGGTAGTCAAAATGTGGAATCTTCCCTCAGTTGACTGTGATAAGAATAAAAGGTTCAAACCTCAATGATAAGGGAGCAGGATGATAACTTCTGTGTATTATTAATATTTCAACCGTAGAAAACAGTTTGATCTATAGATTGGGCTGATTCACAATGAGAATGCTGACATGCTTTAAGAAATCTATTGGATGCTGTGCTCTGTTCTACAAATGACTGAAAGAAAGAATAGAAAACTCAGAAATTCTGAGAAAACATCAGGTTGCAGATTCAGAAGTGGCAACCACATGTAAGCTGATCCTTGAGGTGGTTTCATTTTCTCATATTTAAATGGATATTATGTCCTAAAATGCAATTATGACTCCTATCCTTAGTGGTACCTGTTCTGTCACATGTGCCAGTCTCCTGTCATGTATTCCTGCTTCCCTGGCCATTCATTGCTAGCTCCGATTTCATACTCTATCCTAGTGACTATAGATAACAATACAGTACATTTCACTTGAAAGTTGCTTAGAGAGCAGATCTTAAATCTTCTCACCATAATAACAATAAAACAAAGACCCTGATTATTATGTGAAGTGAAGGATGTGTTCACTAAACTCATCATGGTAATAATTTCACAATATATACATATATTCAATCATTACATAGTACACCTTAAACTCACATCATGTTATATGTCAGTCATAGCTCAGTGAAGCTGGGGGGTCATGGGGAGAAAAAGACAACAGTTTTTTAAATGGATGGCATATCCTAAATGTGATGAGTGACTCACCCTTAGTGGGATTCCCTCTACAGTATGAGCCAACTATCCTGGCATGGCTCTGTTTCCTTGGCCATCTCTGGCTCGGATTCGATACTCCATCATTTTTCTTCCAAACTTCACTATGATGTCCTTTCTCTAAGGCACTGATAAAGTTGTGCAATTGTATACGTTTCCAGAATTATCTTCCTCTGCTATCCACTTTAATTTCTTAGAATTTTCTGATTACCTCTATAAGAATAAATCTATGGAAGCCTAAATATTGCCTGTGTCTGCTAGGGAGTTAGTACAAATAGGAGACTGAGCCCAAAGAGCTGATCATAAGAAATAGTCCCTGGGAAACTGAGAATACCTCGTTTCCAGAGGTGGAAGCCCCTTTCCTGTGATTTGTGCTCACTGGTCCTCGGGATTATGAAGAATAAACCAAATCTCTGTCCCACGTCTCACATCCTTAAAGATTTAAAGAGCTACAGTGAGGATATCTACTCAATACATTAAATATTTATCCAGGTGTTCAGACTGATTGGACCATGGCTTTCTCGAACTCCTACAATGTAAGAGTAAAAAAACTAATGAAGATAAAAAATTAGACTAGACTAAGGACTAGAAGAGACATTTCTCCAAAGAAGACATACAAATGGCCAACAGGTGGGCCAAAAAAATGTTCCACACCACTTATCATCAGATAAAAGCAAATCAAAGCCACAGTATGATATTAGTATTTATCTTCCTCTGTCTGACTTATATCACTAAGCATAATATTCTCTAGTTCCATCCACATTGCTGCAAATGGCAGAATTTCATTCTTTTTATGGCTGATTAATATTCCATTGTGTATATATACTACATTTTCTTTGTCCTTTCATCTGTTAATGGCCACTTGGGTTGCTTCCATATCTTGGATATTGTAAATAGTGCTGCCATGAATGTTGGGGTGCATGTATCTGTTCAAATTAGTGAAAAGGCACATTCTTTAAACACCTTATTTAAAGAACGGAACACATTTTCTAGTTCCATTTTAGTGATGATTATTCTTAATGTATTTGCCACTGCATTTATAATAAATTATTTCATTTCATCTGTTTTATGCATCAAAAAAATTTTTGATGGCTATTATCAAAAACACAAAAGACAACAAGTGTTCCCAAAAAGGTATAGCTGCTATGGAAAAGAGTTATAGAGGTTCTTCCAAAAATTAAAAATAAGACTACCATATGATCCAGTGACCCAGTTTCTGTGTATTTATCCAAAAGAATTGAAATCAGAATCTTGAAGGGATTTTAGCACTTCTGTGTTTACTGTAGCACTGCTCACAATAGCCAAGATATGGAAACAACTTAAATTTCCAATAGCAGATGAATGGATAAAGAAAATGTGGTACAACAGAGTACTATTCAGCCTTTAAAAACTCTGCAGTATGCAGCAATATGGATGACCCTTGAGGTCATTATGCTAACTGAAATAAGCCAGTCACAGAAAGACAAATACTGTTTGATTCCACTTAAATGAGGTATCTAAAATAATTAAATTCATAGAATCAGAGAGTGGAATAAAGATTTCCAGGGGCTGGGGGAAAGGGATAATGGAAAGTCACTAATTAACAATCAAGATGAAAGCTCTAGAAATTTGCTGTACAACATTGTACCTATAGCTAGCAATAATGTACTGTACACATAAAATTTCTTAAGAAGGCATACCTCATGTTAAGTGTTCATTACACAATACCATAAAATTAAATTTAAAAATGATGTGCAGCTGCACACCTGTGTAATGGCCAAAATCCAAAACACTCACAACACCAAATGCTTGTGTCAAAAGTTCAGCAGTAGCCCAAGTAAAACCACTGAATCCCCAAAGAAGTAATTAATAAAATGTTATTGTGCACACACCAAAAAGGTTTTGAACGTGGATGCTCCACCAAAACATGGAATGCGGCTCAGAAGAATATTGTTATAAAGCAGCTTATATAATGAGGAGACATTATTATTGTTTATTCTTCACAGTGACTGGTTCTAATATTAGAATTTTTGTAATGACAGGAAATTGATCAGTGTTTGTCTCATTTCAAGCTTGGGAAATAGTTTGTTTTACTTATGATTCCTAGAGGCATTAGCAAGAAATCACTCAGGTCAAGTAGGTCTTGCAAAATAAGCTAAATCAACCTTTGTTTGCACGACTAAACTGGTTGTGTCTACTCAGAGAATTTTCAAAGCTAGTCTCTGGCTTTTATTTTAACACTGGCAAGGATGTGAAGCAAGAGAAATTCTCATTTGTGGCTGATGGGAATGCAAAATGGCACAACTACTTTGGAAATATGTGTAGCAGTTTCTTACCCAGCTAAACATACTCGTGCCATAAGATCTGGCAATTACAATCCTTGGTGTTTACCCAAATAAGTTGAAAACTTATGTCTACACAAAAACGTGAGCATGGATATTTATAGCAGCTTCATTTATAATTGCCAAAATGTGGACGCTATCAAGATGTCCTTCAGTAGATGAAAAGATAAACTGTGAGATACATACAGACAATGGATATTATTCAGTGCTAAAAAGAAATGAGCTATCAAGCCATCAAAATACATGGAGGAACCTTAAATGCATATTTCTGAATGAAACAAACCAATCTGAAAATGTTTCATACCATATGGTTCCAACTTTATGACATCCTGGAAAAAATGAAATTATGGAGACAGTAAAAAGATCAGTGGTAGCTAGGGATTAGTGGCATGGAGGGAAAATTTTTTTAAAAAATAAAAGAAAGCCTAGCTGGTGAGCCAAACCTTAAAAGCTTAGTAAAATACAAGGGTTGCGGGAAAAAGTTTTGCACGCTCTTCTAAATTCATAAAACGCTAACGTTCATTTTTCTGCTGGGTTTAGAAAGTGATCAATGTTATAAATGTTTATGAAAATCATGGATGTCACTTATAAATTTTTTCACACTGTCCTCCTCTTTTAATCACCCCTTAGTACACAAAACAGACACACACACACACACACACACACACACATGCAAACACACACATGCACCTGCGAGGGCAACATCATCTTCCTCAATTATTCAAAAATAATTTGTGCTTCTTTTTCTTAAACTTTTTCATAAAAGTTCAGCAAATCTGAGGCTTCTCACACTAGGCCTAGCTTCCCTCTTTAACAGTCTGCTATGTAAGCTATGATTTTTCCTTATGTTTCTCACCCTCTGAAATTTGGTTGACATCACTGTCTGCTGTTCTCTCCTTTTCTGTTCTCTTTGTGTTTGCAGGTTTATGCCCTTTTGATTTCTTTACTATCTTTTTAATAGAGTTTCAAAGAGATAAAGAGAAAAATGTGTATTGTTAATCTACCAAATATCTGAGAAAAAAATTTACTGTATACCCCTTTGTATTGATTTAAGTATATTTGACATGCATTCACATTTATAGAGAGTTTAAAATAGAATTTATATTTTAAACCAATTTAACAAAATTAAATTTAAAGCAAGGATGTATAAATAAAATATAAGGAAATATATTAATATTATGATCACAGCTCATTCACTAAATCTACAAATACAATCTCTGAAAAAAGTAAGAAAATTTTCTTGGAGATGGAGGAATGAGGAAAGAAAATGTTTTCAAAGGGTCAGACATTTCAAAGCCAATAACTTTTTTAGTCATTCTCATCATCATAGCCATTGCAGAATCAGAGAACATGCATGTCCTTCATTCCTATGCTCAAAACCTTATTTCCAAGCGACAAAAGGACTCTTAGTAAGCCA